TGGTTAGCATTCCCCAAAATAACCCTGCTTCCCACACTGTCAGTCTGCCTCCCAAAATAACAAACATATAGATGCACAATATGGAGTGAAGCCTTACATTCCTTTTAAAAACAAGTCATTCTAAAGGAAAACCCTTTATACCTGTCCCCGATATAAATAAAGTCCACAGTTCACTTGTGAATGGGGTTATAGGTGCTGCTGAGAAAACAGATCTCCAAAGAACAAGCATCATCACCTTCCCCTTAAAGAAAAACCTGCTAGCAAAGCACCCCACACCAGCGTTAATAGTAATTTATCTCCTACCTCTTGTCTTGGTCCTGAAGCCGCAGCCTGGCCTCACTCTTATCTCTCAGATGGAAATGGGCAAATAGTCAAAAACCTGATTTCAACATGTCCCTCCCTCACTTCTGCTTTTAAACACGGGGTCTGATGACTCTGCAAAAGCGAGTTGGCAAAGGGAACAGGGCAGGCTGCAGAGGAGATAAAGGTGGTTTTAGAATGAGAGACATCCCCGTTTCCCCTCTTTGGGGCTGCCCAGGTGAGGTATCCCCCTGGGACCCACTGGGTGCTGTGGGGCAATGATTCCATACCCAGGAAGGATGTCAGTCAATCCCCTCCCTGTTTCCTGTGGGGCCCTCCAGTTACTCCTGCCCTGAACCCCCATCTCTCCTGAGCACTTTGGGGGCACCTCACAAAAGATGGTGGTACCTGGGAAGGAAGTGGGGAACACACAATACCCCCCACCACATTTGGGACATCTTAGAAGGATGTCAAGGCAAACTCCATCCCTCTGGGAAGAGCAAAGGGGACTTCCAGCCACCCACACAGGACAGGGCAGTTGTGAAAGCTCTGTTCCCCTTGGGAGCCCTGTGCAGGAGCAGAAGTTTGGCACAAGAGCTGCCAGCTCCATGGCAGGGACATGCGAGGATGACTCTGAGGAAGTCACAGATTTCATGTGAAGACCTGGATGTCCCTCATTTGCCTCACAGCATCTTTTGACCACTTTAAAATGTTTTCACCATCACTGTCATGTGCTGTCTTCCACTTCCCTCTCCCAGTGAGATAATTCTGTTTCAGACACTGGATTTATCATCCCCTCACTGCAGGGACAGAGAATGGGAGGGACACAGATTTCAAAGCCTATTTATTTGCTGGTTTGGGGGCTGAGTTGAGAGCAGCAGGACCTACACCATGTGCCTGAGCTGAGGAGGGACTAGGGAGATGCTTGTGAAGGTGGAAGAACCCGGGGCTGACACCCAGGTACCTCCACGCCCCCATGGTGCCCCTTAACCAGGTTATTCTGGAGCACAGATGCCGAATTACTGACTAGCTCCAGCACAGAGCGTTCTCCCCACGGCTTTTCCACCAACAATTCTCCCCACACACTTGCCAAAGCCCCCGAGGAGCCCACCAAGCTGCACAGAGACAAATGCTGGGGTGATGGGAGGAGGCTGCAGGACAACCCCTCCCACCGCCCCCACATTCCAGAGGGACACGCCAAAACATGGAATATTATAGCAGTCAGTCTGTGCCACGGGAAGAGCCAGTGTGTCCCAGCCAGAGCCCAGCCCTCGCAGAGCAAAGTACATGGAAAAGGAGGAGGAGGAGACACAGCTTGAGCAGGGGAAAGGAAAAGTTTAGAAAGACAGGATTTGCTGAGCTGAGCTCGTAAAAATGGAGCCAAGCTGATACCTTTTGTTCCAGCATCCAGAAACCACAGGAGCTGTGTAGGGAATGGCAGCTGGGCTGGCAGGACCCAGCAGGGAGGGATCCTGGTCCAGTTGTACCCTGAGATGTGAGATCCAGCAGCCACCACGGGCAGGTTTGAGTCCCTGTTCTGCTCCCCATGACATGGGCCACTTCATGTCCCGCTGGGGCCTCTCTCCATGGCACAGGGCCAGCCCTTGAGCAAGGAGGGGGCTGAAATACTGGTTCTGACTCACTCGAGAGAGCACACAGGTGAGTAACACCTGCTGTGGCTGCAGAGAGAGCCTTGACTGAAATAAAGATCCCTACCCTGCACATCTCAGCATTCCATCCCCACCCACAAACCTCACATTTGTCACTTGGGCTTTTCTGTGCAGCTTTAACCTGAAACTCCTTCTGATCACAGCCTGCCTTGGCAAAACTCATCTGCAACACACCCTCGGCAGCTCTTTACAGGTGGTGGTGCCTGTGATGCCACAGGAGCTGCTCACTGGCAGGGGCTGACTCTGCTCCTGGATGCTGCAGGATCCAAACCTCACCCCACAGCTCCTGCCACCTCCAGCAGTGCTTGCAAAGGGAGACAGTGCTGTGAGCCAGAGCTGATAAATCATCATGTGGCAGAGGCAGCTTGACCATCTACAGCTCTGAGAGTGGTGGGAATTCCTCATGATCTCCAAAGGAAGGCACACACAGGACAGGGAGGTGCTGGCCAGGTGGGCTTAACCCCATGCCTACAACTGCTTAGTGCATCCCCCCAGCCAGAAAGAAATGAATGCATGAAGCTGGAGCACTTGAGGTAAAACCTGGGCAGAATGGTGTGGAGGAAGAGGAGGACTCTGTTCCTTCCTTTGTCTGGAGGCAACTCCAGGCAAACACACACAGGATGGGGCACTCCTTCCAAGGTAAGAATCCTTAATCCCTAAGGATGGGGCAATCCTTCCAAGGTAAAGACCTTCCCCAGCCCCCAGGGACAGCACCAGGATTTCGGGGCTGACAGTAGGAAATCTGCCAGCACCTGCAGTTCCTGGAGCAACAATTCTTTGCACAAGATCTCAAAGCACTTTGGAAATCCCCAGTTACCCCACACTCTCCAGAGGAGGGAAGCAGCTGCATTTCCCAGCATCAAGGGCAGGGAGAGACTTCTCAAGTGAAGAGCCCAAGTGACATCAAACAGACACAACTGTAGGTGGTGGTGGAAAAATCTGCCTCTGCCAAAGGATCCAACACTAATTGTTCCCTGTGCCTCCTCTTTTCCTTCAGTAGTGTAATACCATGCAACCACTGGAATTTAATGGTACTGATCTGGCTGTCACATGGCAGCCTCTTGCTGCACAGCCAGTTAATCATTGAGGTAGGGACCAGACCTGGGACGTGTCAATGCACGACATTTCTTCCTGCCCTAGCAGCAGACTTCAAATTGCACTTCCCTGCTTTAATATTTAAAACGTTCTGTGTGGGCAGCAGGGTTGGTGACCCTTCCACCCTCCCTGAGCCCTTTCCCAAGCAGAGAACAGCTCCCAATTTCCATCAGGGGAATAGCAGGGAATTATGAGTACCAAAGCCAAATTTTTGGGTTTTGGCAGGGATTCTCACCAGCACCCAAAAATTTGGATTCCCAAATCGTGCTGGCCCACTCAGCCCAATACCTGCCTGATCCTGGCTGGCTGTGTAACCTGCCCAGCCTTTCAGCCCCACAGTTTCAGCATTCCCAAATGTGTTTTCGCTTCCCAGCAGCGCACTCCAAACACCTCGAGACCACACCCAATCTCTTTTTTTGGCTTGCTCCTCCTCCCCTCCCCACAGACCGTGCCCAGCTCCAGCCTGGGGGAATGGGAACATTCAATCTCCAACCACTGTGGAAAGCCCACAACTTCAACTCCAGATTTAGCCCAGACACCCGTGCTAAGGAATATTTCATTTATTCCAGCCTGACTCATCCTTTGAGTGTATTTCCCTTTTGCCAGACAGAAACCTCATAGTGTCTCTGGAGGTCTTGACACTTCTCCACTCTAAGGGAAGTGACTCAACTTGAACCACGGAGCCAAGTTCCCATGGGAGCAGATATCTAAATATTTCTCTCTCAAGCACACTTAGTAGAGGAAAAGTTTTAAAAAGAACCTTCATGGGTTTGTTCTGATTGTTGGTCTAAGAGCTGCACAGAGAGTGGGGCTGGGCAAGAGCTCTGGAAAGTTCATGCAATCTGTGTTTTCTAGGATTCTGTCTCAGAGTAGAGGTAACTGGGAATGAGCCACAACAGAAAAGTTTCAGCACCATCTTAGAGTTGGACAGATGTGACTGAGCAAACCTTGATTTGAATTTAATTCACAAATCAAGATTTATTCAGCTCCTACTGGACTGTAAAATTTTATCTCAATGCTTTCCTCCTTCAGCCACTTTTTCTACAGAAAACAAACCCAAGTGGCTCAGCCAGGCTTAAAATGCAGTCAAACAGCCATGTGGGAGGATGTGGGAGACTAAAAGAGGTGTAAAAATGAGCAGAATCTGGAAGATGTCCCTGCTGGCTGGTGAGGGAATTCAAGAGAATGAAGGCAGCCACAGCAGCTGCTGGGAAGAGGAATGAAACCAAGCGAGGTTTGGATGATACCTGGAGAGCAGCTCCTGTTTGAGAGGTGTCCGTGTGAGCCAGGGGGACTGAGCAGGACCTGATCCCACGTGGAACACTCCTGTCCTGCCCTGCCAAGTGAGACTGACACACCTGGTTCAGCTCAGAGGGAGGAGTGGCTCTGGCACTGCTGCTGGAGCACAACTCTCAGCTTTTCCAGGGACAGGAGCACAGGGGGAGCACACCTGAGACTCTGACCTCACCCAGGCACCTCAGCACACTTACAGGGAAAAAAAGGATAAAATTGTGCCTTGCTTCTAGAGACGTATTTTAGAGGCATTAATTATGCTGAATTGCTGAGCTAGTTCTTGCAAAATAAAACAGTAAACAGCTTGTAACTTTTATGAGGACAACTGGTCTGGAGAGGTCTATGAGGTCTGGAGAAACAACCTGGGTGACAACACATCTGGGTGGAGTAAAGCAGCTGTACAGCAGCTTCCAACAGGAACTGTGAAATGGGAGTTTGCTGAAACATTTTAACATCTTATTCTCATTCATAAAGTCACCCAAGAGAAATCAAGCAATTGATGTGACCAATGAAGAGCCAAGTGATTTTGCCTCTAATAATAAAATACAAAATCCAAGTGATTTTGCTTCCAATTCCTCCTCTCTGCATCCAAAGCTACCAACTCACCAGAAGTTTGCCTACTCACACACACAAACACCCCAATTTTTGAGCTGATTTCTCTTTACTTCACAGTCTTGGCAAAACAAATCTGCATTCAAAAGTCATTTCACATTAATATATTAATCAAATGCTTTCAAAATAAATATTTTTTTTAAATAACCATTTCTTTACATCACCGCAGTAGCAATTCTAGAAAAGTCAGTGCACAAACAGTAGCAATTTCATTAATCAGCTGAATTCAAAGAAAAAAGAAAACAAGAGGTGGACCTTTTTTCTCTCGAGCAGGCTGCATGCAGCAAATCTCAGCAGTTCCCTAGCACAGGATCTTCTGTCACACTTTGCAGGGAAGGATTTTCTCTCTTAGCTGTCAGAAGTCAGTGAAGTGTGACTTGTGCAAAGCTTTGTACAACACAAAAAGTTTCCCAGCCCAGATTCTGATCAGTCCTGCAGAGGTTCTGCACTGGAGTTGTTGCTAAAGAGACCAAGGAATCAATGCTATGAGGAGTCCACGTTTGGGTGACTGGGAATTCACAGCTGGACCAGGAACACAAACAGCAATAAATAATATTTTGTACCTTACAGCTTATTCCAATGTTTTGCATATTCTCTCAAGTGCTTCCAGGGCAGAAGTAAAGCAGCTGCTTTCTGCCCATCAGCTGTTAATTCACCAGGAAAATCACAGCAGGAAGATGCTTCACTGGCCGAAAAGTGTAACTTGTGTTACAACAAAGGAAAAACAAAAGTGCATTACAGACTATGAGGAGAATGTTCAGGACTTAGTAAACTCACATATCTAACTGGAAAATAGAGATTGCAGAAAGATTAGTGTTCCCATGGGATCTAAACTGGTCAGATACTACTGGAGAGCCCTGTGAAGAGCAGCATGTCTGAGGAAGGGAAGTTGGTCAGCATTGTCATACATGGAGAGCAGCAGGGAAATTTGAAGGGCTACGAGATTATTTGCTATGATTGTCAGGAATGACTTAGATTAAAAAAAAAAAAAAAGATTAAAAAAAAGAAACCCAAGGAAGTTGAATATGCATCTGAAAAATGTCACAGGTGTGTATTTCCTTTGAGATCCCAAAGGTTGCCTTTTAAGTCCTTTCTCAAGAACAAAGAGTTGGATGTGACACTCCGGATTAAAAAGAATAACCAGAGGTATCCCTGTGTCCAGAGGTGCTCTTGGATGCACACTAAGGTAAATTCAAGACACCTCCCACCCCCAAGAGCCTTGTTTCCATGTCATGATCATGTTAACTTAGAGCAGATGCTGACTCTAATGAGGTATAATTTAAGTATCAAAAGAAACAGAGCTAAGGGAAGCAGTCACAGGTGAAGAGAACCCCCAGGTGTAGCGATGCTGTGCACGGGGAGGAGGGAATGCTGCAGGACAGCAAACCCTCAGAGCTCCACAGGTGATCCAGGCTGCCAAAATCCCTCCCCTTGCTCTGCACAGACCTACTCCTAGAGCCTCTGAAAGCAGTGTGCCTTGGGGGAAGGCTCTACTCCTCAGTGCTATGGACAGTGCCCCAGAATTCTGCCAAAACGGAAAAAAAGAAAGCAATGGGTCGTGGAGAAGTTCTGTGTCAGCTTATTGGTTTTTCTTGTCCTCTGGTGGGAAGTATGGAGGAGGGGGTGGCTGGTCCTGCAATAAAGATGACAAAAGGACATCAGTGCATGGCTAAGAATAAACTCAAAGCCCCCAAAAAACCCAAGACACCAACATCAGTTCAGACCAACTTTGCTGTGCCACTAAGAGAAGATGTGCACACACACCTGGGCTCCCCTGCAAGCCCAGAGCAGCAGGGACTCACCGTGGGCATGTAGACATTGTGGGGGTTGCCTGGGCTGTAGTAAGCACTGGCAGCAGCTTCAGCAGCCTTGGCTTCAGCTGTCACAGGGACAGAAGTGACAGGTTAGGAACACACAGAGAACTCTGACAATAAAACAAGAACTCCTGGCCATCAAGAGTTACTAACAGAGCACCCTGTGACTGGTGCTCAAGTTGCAGAATAACAACAAACACAATTGAGCGTTATCTCTTCCAGTTACCACAGAATTGTCAATTCCCAGTCAAACAGAAGAACACCGAGTTTGGAAATGTCACCTGGGACTTGCATGTCAGGCATAAATAAATGCTTGCTGCTGCATTGCCTAAATACAGACAATACCCTTTACAAAGAGGCAGAGAACAAACCATCCTTCCTGGGACTGAAATCAAGAGGCAAAACAAAAATCAGCACAAGTTTACAGCAGCTCAGGGGATCAGTGTATTAAAAATGGGAATTTATGAGGATAATCCAGGTCCTCCATTTCTGCAGAACACAAAAATCTTGTACAGCCCTCTGGAGCAGTGCCACTTTCCAAATAATGGTTCAAAGATGAATGGTTATTTATTCAAATCGAAGAGGAGAGTTAAATCCTTATCCAAAACAATATTTTTTTCTGCAAGAGATCTATGGCTGTGCCCAACCACAATAGCTCTTTTTTCATTTTAATAAATCCCAAATGAGTGAAAAATGAGGCTGATATTTCCCTGGCTTCTTTCTATCATCGCTTCCCCTGTTCCATATTGTTTCATCAAAAATAATCACATTAAGAGTGAAATAGGGGAAGGGGAAGCAAATATCAGCAAAGCCACAGCTGTGAACTAAAATGGACCACAAACACATTTCACCATCAGATTCCTTGTATTCATCCATTAGGGCAAGATTACCACCACAGGAGAATCACAAACTGTATTTTTTTTGTCAAAAGAAGAATAAATCCATGTGTAAAATGCCCATTAATGGTGTCTACCCTGGAGAGAAAAAGGCTGGAGTCCAGACTGAGCTACATATACAAGGCTGGAGATTAGGGAAGCTCCCTAATCCCCTTTCTAAACAAATTTCAACTTCTAAGTGAAGCTTCAAAGTTCCCCAAAAGACAAGAAAAAAACGGTTTCATTCCTAAGAAAACTGTTGTGAATTCATCCACCTGGACACGCCCCTTACCTGCAGGAGTGGAGGGCAGGTCAGGGCCACTGACAGGGGGTTCCATGGGCCCTGGGTATGGTGGGGGTGGAAGCTGCATGTAGCCCATGTTTCCATCTGCTGCAGGAGGACCAGGATAAAAATCTGTCAGGAAAGGAGATCACACAGCAAGAGAATTAACTCCTCTGGGTGGAGTTATCAACCAAAAGAAGCCAAGGCAAACATAACTGAACCCAGGAACAAAAGCTACACAAGTCATTACTAAAATACTGTCTAAAATCCGTGTTTCTTGCCCTTTTTACCTATTTTAATTTTTACTCACTGGAATAATCTCCAGCTGCACTTCCCAAGCTTACCTGGAGGAGGAGGTGGGTATGGATAGCCCCCATTAGCTGCAGGTGGTGCAAAAGCATAGGATCCATTTGGCATGTAGGAATAGCCATAAGCTCCACTGGGTATTTCACCTCTGGAGACTGGAAAAACAAAGACAAGACCACATCAGAACATCAAGCCTGCCACAAATGCAGGCCAAGAACTCCAACAAACTTAGAGAGTTCCTTAGCAGGAAAACAAGTGTAATCCCAATAAACCTGCTCGTTGGATGTGAAAAAAGTATTTTTTAAAGCAAGCTTCAGGCAAGGGCTTCTGAAACCACAGAACTCTGGCAGACACCCCCAAACTTCCATACCTTGTGATGCCACCTGCAGCATCCGCTGCCCAAATTCAATTGCACCCCCAGCTGAAAAGCTCATCTTGAATGTGGCAGATCCTTCCCAGCCACCTGAGGGAGAAGAGACAGCACTAAGGAGCAAGAAGAAGCCATTTCCATGCAATTTAGGTTACATGCTGCATCTACAGAGGCCCTGGTTATAATTCTTTAAAGAGCTTATCCCTAAAATCCAAATTTAAAAAAAATAAAAAGCTGAGGAAGTGGCAGAATTATGGTATCATCAGAAAAATTCACACTGGGGAACTGTCAGGTCACGAGACACCTGAAGCAGAAATATCCATGAGGGAAAGCTTCCAAAGCTTTCTGGAGTTGTGGCTGTTGCTACAGTAGCTGTCACAGGCCAAGCTATCAGGAGTGCTGGATTTGCTCTTGCTTTGGATAAGATTAGTGCAGAAGACAGGGATTTTGTTAATTCCATTTGCTAAAAAGCCTTTGCAACTACACCTAACTGTCAGCTCCAAATTAGTTTGGGAGTCTGAGGGCCCAACAAAGCAAAGAGCTTAATGAAAAACATAGTCCACATAAATCGATTAGAGCCCATGGAAGATATTTCAAGTCAGGATAAAAATTAATTAAAAAACAAATAAATTAGTGACATCTCACATTACAGTATAAAAAAGAAAAACATGCACAGTCCAGAGTCCCAAGAAAGCATCAAAGCAGAAGCTGTGCTGAAGCAAAAACAAGTAGATTAAAAAGCCTTTTAAGCTAAACCAGACTCTCATGGCTGTTAAGACAACATCATCATTAAAAGAGATGGCCTCTGGGGAAAATTCACAAAGATTCAGCTAAAGCCTTTTTCCTTTCACACATTTGAGTTTGTAGTTAATCTCATGCTGGATGGTCCCACTCAGCTCCCATGCAGAAGCTACAATGCTGATTTCAGAACTCCACCTGAAGGCTCTTACACCCTGTGCTGTGATTTCTGTGCCACAACTACTAGACTGAATCAAGCTGAGGATGAAAGTTTGCTGAACTCTGTGTCTTTGGTAAAAAAAAAACCCAAAAACAGTCAAAACCAAAATTATTCTTGAAAATGTCTGCCACAGCCTTCTAATTGAGTTTCATGTGAAACATCTCCTTAAATTTATTGATTTCAAGACAGTCCATTCCCTTCCAAGTGCCATTTTCACTGCCAGGATGCACAGTAATAGCACACCTGTCCTTGAACAGCACAAGGACCACAATGGAGAAAGTGCTCTGGGCATCTGCACCTGAACCCAAACACAGCCAGAAAGGATCTGAGTTTTTGGCACAGGAGAACTTGGATGCAGGTGGGATAGGTGATCCCAAGTGACCAAAGCAAAATCACATCCTCATTCTTAGTGACTCCACTCTGATGTTTATTTGCTGGGATCATTTGTTTGATTGAGCTTTATATTTTGCAGAGGGCAGGAATGAGATGGGCTGCAGAGCACATCTGCTCATTGTCACTGAACAGGGAGTTGGTAAGGGGAATGTTTTTAGCTGCCAGTGAAAGAAACACATTTTCACAGGAGTGTGAAAACCCATTTGGGCAGTGTCAAGGGTTTGGTTAGCCAGGATTTTGCTATGCATTGAGCAGCTGAACTGAGACACAGAACATACACTATGTGATACCTACCTCCTGCCTCTGCTTTCACTGTGCCCTTGATGTAATTTGCTCCAAACACTGGCTGCTTAATCTCACAATCCTTCAACAAGTAAAAGGGCATCACAAATGACTGCATAGCATCCTTCCCCTTAGACACAAAGATAACCTGAAAAGAAAATAACATTACAAGACCTATTCAAAGCAAACAGGAAACACAGCCCTGATTTACTATATGAACAGTTTTCTCCATGGACTGAAACTCCCTCTCCCTCCCACATCACCAGTTCTGCAAGACAAAAGCTGCACACGACAGCCACAGAGGTAAACCAAATCCTCAAGGTACTAAAGCCTTCCAGGAAGTCCCTTGCTCAGGTAATGCTCCACCCAGCTTCCAGCGAACCTGCTGCTCCACACAGCTATGATTTAGTAGCTGTGCTGTTGCATTCAGCATTTCCAGACCGCTGTTAATTTCCAGTTTGAAGATGCCTGATGGACTAAACAGCTGCCTGTACAAGAACTAATCAGATTTATTATCTGCTGACAAAGAGCTGGGATATGCCATGAATTCATAATGCTTCCCAGAGGAAGAGGATGAGCCACACTTCAAGCAGGAGTAGATTATCCTGACTTTCATGCATTGAAAGGACATTTAAATACAGACTCCAGGACTGTTATCTCCTTAGACAAGATAAAACCTTTCACCACTTACCCGGTAGGGAGTCAGGAAAACACTCCCTTTCTTGGTCCCCTTGAAGGCCTCTGGCATCGGCTCCAGATCACTGAAGGTAATTTCTATATGGTCATAGGTCATCAGAACACTGCAAACAGTGACAGAAGAGACAGGCGTTACAGCTCAAGGCACAAGTGCAGCATGCACAGAAGTTTACTGACCTACCAAAACCACCTGTAACCTCAGAACTGATGGAGATGCCGAGCAGATAAAATGAGTTCTGGTTTGCCTTTTTTGTTGTTGCTGTTGTTAGCAGCAGCAACTGAAGTAGCACTGGCTGCTTGTTCTCTTCCCAGAGTGCTGACACAGCTCCTGCTGCTGTCTGAACGCCCAGGCAGCAAACCCGGTCAATTGAGCTGATCGGAATCTCACGACTTTTTTGGTTTTTTCAAATAGTTTTGCATTTCTGCTGGATCAGTTCCCTAATTTGGTTGTCCCCAAGAAACATGACAGAGGAAGGACTGCAGGAAAAGAAGCTGCTCAGGCTGGCTTATGCAACACAGCTATTGAAGGTCTCACCACAGCTCAAGCACCTCTGACACAAAAATGTGATGCAGAGCAACTCCCATTCATTGCCACAAGACTTCATTAACTCGTGTTGCCAGCACTGATTCCTTAATTCTCAGTTACAAACTGATTAAAACCGTTATATGGGCACAGCAGGTAACTTGTATTGACATTACAGCACCTACATTAGGGCTCTAATCCCTAAAGCTGCAGAAATCTCCACCACCTCTATCTTTGGCAGCTGACGTGTTTCCATCCTCACTCATTCACCAGTAAATTACCAGTCCCTCCAGGAACATCTCGGGAAGGGCAGTGGGAGCAGCTCTGTTCAGGCTGCAGCATTTCAGCTGGATCAACCCAGGGACAGGCAGACCCTGAGGCAAGGCAGGCTGACAGCTGGGAACAGCAACACCTTCAGCTGCTGCAGTTCTCTCAGGGAATGCAAATATAAGTACCTGAGTTGAGCCTTTTAAGAAAGTGGAAGTGGACTTCCACATCCCAAGTGGAAGTCAGGCGCAGAATTTCTACAGCAGTGTTTAAGTGGCCCTGTGGAAAGAAGCGCAGGAGGATGAAGCGCTCCTTTGTCCCCGAAGCAGATGACTGCCACGTCAGAACCACGCCGGCAGACAGCGGGTGCGGACAGCAAAGGGCACCAGACAGAGGCAGCTCTGTGCAGGCTTGCCGTTTCCATGGTTATATCCCAGCACCTTCTTCCAACACTGCTGCTCCCTCCCGCACACACAGAAAGGGGGCTGTGCTCCAGGAGCCCGGAAAACCACGGTGGGCAGCCTGGGAGCTGAGGCACCATGCAGGAGCGCTATCCCCGCGGGGCCAGGCCTGGGTCCAAGCCGTATCACCTGAGCGGGAGCTGAGCTCTGCCAGCCCTTCCTGAGCCCGCGGGGGAGAGGCTGGGGACAGGCTGGATGCTGAGGGAAGCGGTGCAGGGGGGCAAGGTCCGCGGCTGAAGCCCAGCAGAGCCCCCCCCTCACAGGCCCTGGGACAGGGGGATACGTAAGGCCTTAAGGAGATGAAGGGAAGACGAGCAACACCGGCACCGAGAGGGTTAAACCACCCCCTTTACCCGCCGCACCCCCCATGACCCACACAACCGCTCCCCCTGAGGGGGAAGGCAGGAGGAGGGCGGGAGGAGAAGGCAATTCGCCACTATCCCCCGGCTCCCGAGGCCGGAGGAGGGGAGAAGGGGATAGCACCTCACTTCTCGCTGTTGTTAACGATGACGCCGCCGCCCTCCGAGTGGTTCTTGTTAAGCGCCATCGCCGCCGCCTCCGCCTCCTCCTCCTCACAGCATCGAGCCCACTCTGCGCCTGCGCGGGAAAAAGGCTGTTGCCGTCTATGGGACCGAGGGGCATGCTGGGAGTTGTGGTTCACCTCACCACACCTTAGCACGGTGCCATTTGCCCCGCGGTGTTTTCCGGGAGCTGTAGTCCGTCCATGCACGGTATTAACACTCTTCGCGTCAGCCGCGCGGTGCATGCTGGGAGTCGTAGGCCGGCCGCCATGCTACCCCCCTTCCCAGCCTCAGGGCCTGGCACCCTGTTTCTCTATAATTGTGCTGTTTGGTAGAATAAAATGAAATTAATCCCGGATATCTGGCAGTTCTGTACATGAAATGAGGTTTAGCCCCTTAAACAGTGAAGATGCTTCATTTCCAACTATTTTTTAAATCTCCATTTGACGTGCATTTTCTGTTTCGCACACTTGCAAACAGGTTTTTGATCCTGCTGCTTTCAGTGATGGAATCAAGCACATCCGAAAAATTACTCCTTTATATTGAGGTGTGTTAAACCAGAAGGACTAACCGGTTGCCTGTAAACAAGCCAGGACCTTGTCTGTGTGTCCCTCTGTCAGGAATCTGGGAGTGAGAATATAGCTGTGGCATCCTGCAGATCTGCAGGAAGGGTCTAAACTCTTGCCTCCAGCTGTGCAAGTAGGAGGAATTAAAGAAAAGTTAATGATTGCATAACTTCATTAAAAATAGGAACCCTGCAAAACTTGAAGGGCTCCCTCAGATCAATAACTGGCAGCTGTGTATCAATAATATACAAATAAGAGCATGTATTACCCTCTATTATATATTTTAGATGCATCTGAGCTATTCCCTGGATTTGCAGCCCAGTCCTGTCTGAGTGCCCGAGAACCAGATGCGGGTAGGGGGGGAAAGCAGAAAAACATAATGGAAAACAGATTTAAATAAAAGCAGTGACATAATCTGTATGGTTTCTTGGCAGGAAAAGAACAAGTTTGTGCTTTTCATATCCGCTTTTTCAATAAGCAGTAAGTTTCCCTTTTAAGAAACAGCCATAACAAACAGTTCTGATTCTTCTCCTATTAAAGTCAGGAGCAGAATTCACTCAGCTGCCACCAAAACGCCCAGATGGAGCATTGGCACCTCGCATGAACTAAGGCTCACCAAATAACATTTTTATCCTAACTCCAGTTGACAATTGGGATTAAGAAAAGCAGCCTTCACATTAAAAAAGATGCTGCTGTAATTGCCAGTGTGTGTGTGAAGCTGTAGACCTCCCCATCACACAGAAAACCTTGGAAATTTATACTCAAAATTTGAAAACGCTAAGGAAAAAATACCTAATCTGATAATCTTTTTTATTTGTAAAATGAGGACAGACATAGAAGAGAGAACTGAGACAATTCATTGTTTTGAATTGCTCAGGGCTGACAATTATTATTGGATTTTAAGGTTCTTCCGCTCATTTTGCAATAAAAATGTGTATGTGGCAGAATTCCCTTGGACACACTTGGAAAATAAAATCTGTGTTATTTTATGCCAGATGTACAGGACACAGAAAAATAAACATGAGATAATGGGACCACTCAAATGGTTTGGTATTTAAAGGAAAGACAACCCAGGGCAATGACTGTATCATATTTAATGGACAAATCATAGTTTCTAATACCATTATATTATTCTGTTACAGTTTTTTCACACACTGTAAAACACCCTACAGTTACTGTATTTAAAAAATCCTAATTAAAAAGAGGAACATTCTGTGACAGCAGAAATAACCCAAGGGAACAAGGAAAGGTTGTTTAAATTGCCAAGTGCTATCAAACCATCTCAACTCATCTCACCCTGCGTTTAACCCTTTGTTTACAGCAAAATCAGGGATCCAGATCCAGGGAATGCAGTGCACATTCCCTGATCATTCCAGTTTACAGCCCGAATTACTGGCAGCACAGAGCAAACTCTGACCCAGCTCCCAAGGGGATTGCTCCTATTGTAAATCAGCCCTAACCAGGAGGGGTTTTAGCACTCCCAACCACGATAAAAGCAAGCAGTAGGAAAGAGAGGAGGGCTGGGCAGCACTTCCCAACTGCAGCATCCACAGGAACCCCCAGATGCTCCTCGTGGAGCTGCATCCACGAATCCACCCAAAGCAGTGGCACAACCACACACCATGCCCAGACACCCCAGCAGCCTCCTGAGCTGCTCCCATGGTGTGACAGGATGGAAAGAGAGGATCTCTGAGCCTGCCAAGCCCTGAAGGAGGTCAGAGGTTTGTGTCTGTGCATTGGGAAAGTGGAGAAGGGTGGGATGCATGGCTCCAGCCTGGGTTTCCCCTTGGAGCAATCAATCCGCCTACAGTGAAACGAAACAGGGCAAAGACCCAGATCTCTTCTGTTTACTCTGGCAAAGCTCCTCGCTGCAAACTGTGCGAGCTTAGCCTGAATAAATGAGATTTAGGGCGCTGATGTGGGCCCACATGGGAAATCTCTTCCTGCAGAGATAAAGGTTCCTTCCCTTCTTCATCCTCCCAGGACCATGCACGGGCTGTGGCACAGCTCCACCTTTCTCATTCCACCAGGAACTCCTGTGCACAGAGCAGAAGGAGTGCTCAGCTCAGCTCTGCTCAGCTCTGCTCTGCTCTGCTCAGCTCAGCTCAGCTCAGCTCTGCTCTGCTCTGCTCTGCTCTGCTCTGCTCTGCTCAGCTCAGCTCAGCCCAGCTCAGCTCTGCTCTGCTCTGCTCTGCTCTGTGTCACCGCTGACATCTCGTGCAAGGGCCGAGCTCTGCAGGGGCTGCTGGCGCCAGCCAAACAAAGAGGGTTTGGAGCTCAGGATGCAGGGAATGAATTCCCATCCGGACAGAAGTCTGGGCAGCATTCCCACCAGCCAGGAAAGGCCAAGATTGCAGCTAAAGATTTCACTCTGCAAGCCCTACTGTTCCTTTTCCCACTCGCAGCAGTTCAGGAGTCACCTCATGCAAGGGAGAGGAGGAGGAAAAGGAATTTGCAGACAGATTCCAGCAAGCCCCTTCCCAAACTGACTCACCAGCCTTGCCCTGGGGAAGGGTGGCTGCATTCAGACCCTTCATCCACTCAAATATCCTAATTTTCAGGGCACTAGTAGCTCTTTCTGCAAAAGCAGAAATTGGCAGTGCTGGCAAAGCAATGACAGTAAAGGAGCCCTTTAAGCCTCAGCATGTAAGCGTGGCTTTTCATGTAACTTTAAGTTCAAATCTCTCAGCTTTGTGCCTGCCTTTTATGCACGTTCACATTTTCCCCTTCACTTCACTTGAATATAGTACAATGATTTCCAGCTTATCCTTTGGGAAAAAAAAAATCTATATATCATATATTTGGCTAAATGGGCTCTTTATTATCCCTGCTGACAGTTGTTGCATCATCCCTGACTCACTTATGCCAGTGAAGAACCTGACCCTCTGTATTTTTTCTCCAGGTGTACATTACACAGCACCACGGTTCTGTAAAGCAAGCTTTGGGAGGTAGCAAAATAACCCCAGAAAAAATAAACTTGTGGAAAGGCAGACTGTGCTGAGACAGGGGCTGCTCTGTGCTGCCCTCACAGGCAGTATTTCTGTGTTTTCCTTCTGAAAAAGCTCCTTTAGTACATGTGAACTGGCAGTTTTGTCTCTCAGCCTCGAGTTTCCACCTCTCCTGAAGGGAACAGTGTTCCCTCTCGGCTTGGGGGTAGTTTTTGTTAGTTGTTACTTATTCCCAGAGTTTAAAGGGTCATTTAGTAGCTGACTGATGCTGCACCTTTATCGAGGCACTCACAGCTGTCCCTAGAACACTAAACCACACCATTTATCTCTGGGACATATTCACAGCACCTCTGTCACTTAAAAAATGTCTAAGCTAAAAGGCAGATTTTCAGCTCAAGTGTGCCCAGGGTTCTTGAAGAGTTGGTGGTTTAACAGTACTAAAATCCCCCAGAACAGCAGTGTCATCAAAAATATGGGGGAAAATTTGGCAGTAAAGCTTTGCTAAGAGTTACCAAAGAATGTATTTCCTTAAAGCACATCTTCAAAACTTGTTTTGTGCTGTTCTCTTCCCCATCTCCAGGTGGGAACAGTGGTGCTGCAGGAGGTTTCTCCCTTTCCCAGCTGGGCAGAGATCCTTGCTTCACATTTGCAGCACTCAAGGGTGGGTAGGCCTGCAAGGAGAGGTGCTGCATCACCCCAGCATCACCCCAGCACCCAGGCAGGCTCCTCCACATCCCTTTCCCTGGAGCACCATCTCTCCCATGCCAGGGCACACTGGTGATGTGGCACCAGAGAAGTGACCACATCTGCCTTGGGGGTTCACCTGGTCCACACAGGGCTTGCTCCATCAAAGGCACTTCATGAGGAACATGCAGAAGGTATTGATGAGGCGGCACTTTAAAAAGCATCAGCAATAAAGCCTGAGATAAGGCACAAAGCATCTGCACAAGCTGCTGGGGCAGAGTGAGCAGAGGTGAAGGAGAGGGACTGGGCAGGTGGCCAAGGCACAGTTCCAAATCCATGTGGCACTTCTGAGCAGCACACTTTACCAAGAAAGGTTGTTGCAGTCCCTGATGTCCAGAAAGGGAAGCTGAGGGGCAGGGAGCAGCACAGGGACTCGCCCAAGTTCCCTCAGTGGCAGAGCTGGCACTCGGATCCAGCCCCATCCTGGCCCCCAGCCCGGCCCAACAGGAGGCTTCATCCAGCCCTGGGTCCCCAACAGTGCAGAGAGGAGGGAGGGCTGCCACAGACACAGACAGGGCTACCAAAGAGAGGTGGCACTAATCTCCAGGAGAGACTTTTGTGGGTCTGTCCGTGCCCCTCTCCCTGGGCAGTCACCGGCGCTTCAGCACCGACACACAATCCCTCTTCAGCGGCCCGATCTGCAGGTGGGCATCCACACTCTCCAGGAAGAAGGCTGGCTTCAGCTTGCACGAGAAAAGAGAGGCAAACTGGCGGTTGATCTTGTTCTGGAACGGGTCAAGCTTCCCCTTGGCAGAAGGAGAGACCTTGAGCTGCTGCAGGCAGGTCATCTTGGAGTCCTTGACTCCGTAGAAGGTTAAAGCCTTTTCGGAATACTCCAGGAAGACACCAATGGTTTGGAAGAAGGGCTGCTGGATGGTGCACTCGAAGCCACCAAACCAGGCCACGTAGTTCTGGCCGTTCCACTGCAGGCAGCAGGACCTGTCGTTCCTGCCCAGCCGCCCGTGGTTGTAAGCTTCCCGCGGGTCGAAGTCCTCGGCGATGACCCCGATGCTCACCCAGCCGTCGATCAGCTCCACCTCCCAGTAGTAGTTGCCCCTGTTCATGAGGTTCAGACCCAGCACCTGCTCGCAGTTGATGAAGCGGGTGGGGCTCTCTGGGTAGGGGATGGGGCACAGCACCCGCTTGGCCCCCTTGGTGCCGAACAGCTGGATGAACTTGTCGGCTGTGTCGCTGTCCAGGTCGATGATGAACGCAACTGTGTGGGGCAAGAGGGAGAAGTGAGCAGAGGGAAATGTGGGGAAATCCTCTCTGCCCAAGCCTCTGATGATGAATATGATCCTGGCTGACCTTTCCCTGTCGCTGTAAGGCTAAGGAAAGGTGAAAGACATAGCAAAACTTCTGCTTTCTGGAAGAAGTCTGTGTTGCTGTATCTTTTTGCCACTCCATAGCCTTACAGCGACATTTCCCATCACTCTGTCCACTTGCTTTTAATCCCATGGCAAATTTCAGTCATTGAGGATGAAATGCTAAAAGAGCTGACACTCCCATAAGTAGGATGAATACAGGGAACTGGGCAGAGGAGAGAACAGAGGGGCTGCTTGATGAGCTCAACCATGATACCACACATTGGAGAATCCACCTGAGAGAGTGGTGGTAAGAAAATCTCAAATAAAAGCATATTTCAGGTAACCACAGATAAATGCAGTTGAGAGAGACCCCGAGAAGAGAGAAGAGCTAGGTATGCCACAGCTACAAACAGGCAGCCCCCAGCAAGAGGGGCCATGTGAGAACCACTGATGGATCCCAAACAGAGGGGATGCCCAAGGGAACAACCCTGGACATGGATCACTATCAACTTCACTGCAGTCTGAACATGTCCCAGCCTGACCCCATAGCCCCTGTAAGGCTGGAGACACACAGGTAGGGTGTGGGAGCTCCAGCCCAGCCCTGGACCCTCCAGCCTCAGCCTCTCCTGCCTCACTCTGCTCCACTACTGTGTGATCCCTGTCATTCTGCTGCTGCAGACAACTCTTACCAGCCCAGAGTCCTGCAGCAAAAAAAGCAGATGCACAAACTCTGATCTAATTTAAAGAAGATCCGATTTGCCAAGGGCTGGAAGGCAGCAGGAATTACACAGGACGCCTACAGCTCCCCTGGGGCAGCTGGGCCAGCAGAACCACAGACAAGGGAAAAAAACCATCACCTAACCAGGCTATGACTGTTGTCAGGAAAGCCAGGAGGCCTCCCTGTTAGCCAAGCAATATTTCCTCTGCTGGTGGCAGCGCTCCCACAGCCGCTGGATCAGCAGAGAGAGGAAAGGGAAGATGGGCCTTAGCAACAACCACAGCAAAAGTCCCCCACTTACATTTCAGGAAATAATCACGGCTCTCCAGGCAGGCAGGATTGTTTGACTTGTCTGGAAATCGGGATTCAGCCAATGCTGTGGAGACAGGGACAGAAGGATTTGCATCAGCAAAGGAACCAAACCACCAATAAGGGGGTACTGGAGCATTGTCCCCTGCCTCTGATGGCACCCAGCTGTCACAGCCCCAGCCAGCATCCCCACTCCCCCTGCACATCCCCAGTGGCTCACACAGCAAAGGACAGACACCTTTATCATCCCAGGGATGTGGGCAGGGAGCAAGGGGGGCAAGGAGCTGGCTGCATCTTCCATGGGCATCCAAGAAAATGAGAAAGGAGAGAGCTCAGGTTAAATGAGACAGCATGGGAGAGAGCTGCCACATCAGCTCTCTAACCTGGCATGTTTGGGAGCCCACAGCCTGCACTATGAGGAGGACTGTCTGTCCTGGGAAGAAGAGTCCCCTTTCACAGGAGGCCACTTTGGCCACTTGCCCCCTCCCACAGGGCCCTCCCTAACTCCCAGGCTGTTTGTTGCCTCTCCAGTCTCCCGTCTCCGTGGAAAATTTCATAAAACCTCAAAGAGGCGTAAGCCCAGACAAGGATTGTGCAACGTGCAAGGAGCCCGTGCTGAGCAGCTTCCAGGGCTGGCAGGACAGGGGCGAGCACTCACAGGGGCCACGGAGCCTGCAGCCACCCTCCACCCATGCAGGAAAGAGGGAAAGGGACAGGGAAACATCCAGGCAGAGCAGACAAGTGAACACAAACCTTCCTCCATCTCCTGGCAATTAAATCCATCAATTCCTTTCCCCTGCAAGTGGTTCCACTGGTTTTTGCAGGCAGTGGACAGCACATCCTTCATGGTGCCCACGGCTTGGGTGCACTTGGTGAAGTTCAGCTCTTTCTGGAAACTCAAAGGTGGAGGGAGGTTTTCTTCCATGGCTACTTTCAAGGCCTGAAATTCCTGAGCCAAAAAAGACAGAGTTTCAGGAGGTTTCAAACAAGCCAAAGTTGTCTCTTGTTCCACAACCCCACCCGGCCCTGGAGGATTTGGGATCTGGCAGCTCCCAGGACTTGGCCCAAGGACAGCATAAGGGAGGAGAGCACTTTCACAGCCACGTGTTCCTGGCACCTTCTCCTCACTGCCTTTCAAACCCAGACTCAGATCATGCCCACCTCGCATGGAGCAGCATCTCCTCCCTAAAATGTCTCCTCTGGCCGGGCTGTCAGGGATGGGGGGGATGCTGGAGGAGGCAGTGGGGCACCCCAAACTCTCACTCTCCCCCACACCCAGGTACCCACTCTGGGCAGCACATCAGCTTCTCCCGAGTCACAGACAGGACAGATGTGGGGAAGACGGAGGGGAAAATCTTGGCTGCCTGGTCCCCCTGGGAGAAGGGAGGGGAGAGGACTGTGCCAACAGGAGTGAGACTGCAGCCTGCACATCCCAGGGCTGCTGGCCCCCAGCTCCATGGGAAATGGGACAAAACCCCAAAATACAACACTGTCAGCTCCTTCTTGCCATCCCACCTGGAGGAAGTAGATGGTGTCAGTGCTGGGGACATTCTCCAGGTTTTGCTTGCACTGTGCCAGCTTGGCTCGTCTCTCCTCCTTCCAGCGGAGATCAGCCTCAGCCTCCCCCAGCATGGAGCGCTCCCCATCCTCGATGAATCCCATCACCTCCTTCTGGAAGGTCGCCAGCACCTCAGAGGCCTCTGCAAAGAGCTTCTCGACCCTTTCCCTCTCCTTGGAGGCAGCACCCTGGCAGCAGGGAGAGAGGGGGCAGGTCCCACAGGTGAGGGTGAAAGACGGCCACCCTTGTGCCCTGCCCAGCACCCAGTTCTCAGCTCTGTGGAATCCCCCTGACACTCCATCACCCCCTTCACCCAAGAACTCAGATCACTTCACAGCACAACTGTCAAGGGACCTGGCTGGGCACTGCCACTTACTGCTGCACCACATTTTGTGTCCTCAAGCAGGAAAGTGATGTTTGCACAAGGGCCAAAGGGGACAACCCCCCATGAGCCTGGGAAGAGAAGGTGCACGAGCCAGAGGATGCCCTAGCCCTGTTCCTTCTTCCATATTAAAAACTAAACCAAGCAGAGATGCCATGAGTGTTAGCAGAGATGAGGAGAAAGAATCCTCAGGGATCCATTATTTCAGGGTGCTCCTGTGAGCACCATCTCTATACCCCATGCACCCCAAAATCTCACAGCCCCTTCTCCTCCACCCCCAGCCCAGCAGAGCTGCACGAACAGAGCAAAGCCATTGCAGAGTCACCTTAATGAGCTCCACCATCTTCTTGGCTTGGGTGATGGTGACTGCCAGCTCCTCCAGCTCATTCTCCACATCGCTGAGGAATTTGGCTTGTTGGGCCTGCAGACATGAAGGACAAACACTGAGCTTTACCCCCAGTCCCAGTGGAGCCACAGGGCATTCAGCTTCTCCCTAAGCTCAACCCACAGACTCTCTCTGACCGTGACCTCGTTACCAGACTTTGGGTGAAGGATACAAGGGGAACCATGAGTTGTTTGCCTGTTTTCCTTCCCTGCAACATCTAACATGCAAACTTCCCTTCTCACTCAGCTGGAAAGTGAAAGGGTCATGTCCAGCTCCACGTTCCCCACCCTGGTCCCAGCGGAAACCAAGCAAAGCAGGAATCTGAAAGCAAACCCATCACGCAGTAATTGCAGCTAAGGGAGTGCTCTTAGCAAGTACCCAGGGCTGGGAAAAATCCACCTGGGTTTGGTGCAGAGGTTGAAAGGCTGGCTTGGAGCACTCAGAAACTCAGCAGAGTCCCCTGGAGGTTTCTGTTTAGGAGCAAAGCAAACCCAGCTCCGGAGCACGGGCTGCAAAGGAAGCACCTTCTGAACACGGCGTTTCCTGAGACGCTATTGTTGGCTCAGCCATTGCCCATCACGAGGACAGGTCCCTCGGGAGCCAGGAGGGCACTCCCCGGCCACAACAGCTCCCTGCTGATGCTCAGCCCCCTGGCCCTGCTCCCTGCAGTGCTTGTACCCAGGAGCAGGTACAGGTGCTTTCCCCGTGCATCCATCCCAGCCCGCAGCAGGAGGGCGGTGGCCCAGGGCAGTCACAGAGGCCGTGCAGGCGACATTGAGCAGCGCCTGCCGAGGTCTGACAGCTCCTCGGCGCTGGGATTACACCACTTTCTATTTTAAGGCACCCCATGACTAATAATGACGATAAAAGGGTTTTCCTGCAATCCTAGCAGCCCATCAGGAGAGGGAGCTGGCTTGGGGCTGTTGTTTGGGGCAGGGCTCCTCCTTGGAAAAGGCAAACTTTCCCAAGGTCTCCAAATGCCTCACGGCCATGTGAGATGCCACCACACCGAGAGCCTCACAGGTTCCCCTGTGAGCCCCACTGAGCCCCCACACTTTCAAGGCTGCCCAGGAAGGGAGCACCACGTTGGGACTGGAGCCCCAGCTCTTGGGAAGGCTCGAGGGTGTGAGTTTAGGAGGTGACTCAGTCACATCTGGGAATGGGAGTGATGGAAAAACCCCCGCTGCCAAAACGGCAGGATACAAAAAGCTGGGGGAGCGGGAGCGGCGGGCGGGCCGGCTGCCAGCGCGGCCAGAAAAACCGCCTTGACTGAGCTGTGGGAACGAGCAGGAGCCGCGGGTGCCCCAGGACCGCGGGGGTGGCCGCTCTGGGGTGTCCCGGGAAGCCTCGCCCCAGCCCTACACCCACGGGATTGAGAGCTCGGCTCCGCAGCGGGAACACTCCCCACGGGATGCCTCGGCAGCGGCTCTGCCTCGATACCGGTCCCCGCCTGCCCATCCTGTCCCAAACCCAGGGGCTCCCCGATGGCGCAGCATCCTGTCCATATGTCGGGGTGGAATCCCCCGAGGGGATGAGAGTACAGCACCCCCTCCCTCCACATGGCATCCCACCAGTGCTGCACCTGCACACACCCCAGGTGGGGATCGGGCTCCCCGTGGGGACGCGGGTGCAGGATGAACCCCTCCGAGGGATGCCGCACCTCACAGCACCCAGACACCCCACACCTCGTCCCACCCCGCAGCGCTCCGCGCCCCTCCCCGCCCCACGCACCTGCTTGTGCTCTCGCTCCTGCTCGAGGGGCACCACGTCGTGGGCGCGATGCTCGTGGGCTCGGCAGCGGGAGCAGACACAGCTCTGCTCCGTGCGGCAGAAGCCGTCCAGGGGCTGCAGGTGGCGGGGGCACAGCCCCTCCTCCAGCCGGCGCAGCGGGGCCACCAGCCGGTGTGCTCGGAAAGCCGGGGCGCGCCGGTGCGGCTCCAGGTGCGCCCCGCAGAAGGACGCCAGGCACACCAGGCACGACCGCTCCGCCGCCACGCGGGACCCGGGCGGGCACACATCGCACAGCACCACCGCTCCTTCCTCCCCCGCAGCATCCTCCTCTTCGGCTCCCGGGGCCATCGGGGACGCGGCGGCCGGGGACGACGGGGACGAGCCGCCGGTGGCGGCCGCCAGCAGCGGCAGGAGCTCGCACAGGGCGCGGTTCTTGCAGAGCCGCAGGCCCGCGGGGACGGGCTCCTGGCACAGCGGGCAGCGGGCGGCCCCGCCCGCCCCGCCGCCGTCGGGGGGGCCTGGCCGCTGGCGGAGCGCCTGCAAGCAGCCCTGGCAGAAGTTGTGTCCGCACGGCACCGTCACCGGGTCCCGCAGCACGTCCAGGCAGATGGGGCAGCCCAGGGGACCCTCGGGCAGCCCCGGAGCCGCCAGCGCCAGCCGCAACGCCGCGCCGGAGGACGGCGGGGCGCTCCCGGGCGCAGCATCCATCCCTAAACGCCCCGACCGGCCCCGGCCCCGGTCCCAGCCCCGGCGGAGGCGGGCGGCAGCCGCGCCCCGCCCGCCCGCTCCGCCTCCCCCCGACCGCAGCCGGGGCTCCGCTTCCCGCCGTGCCCGGGCGGCTGCTGCGTCCTCGGGGCGCTGACACACAGCATCAAGCCCAGGGTACCCGTCCTCCTGGGAAGAGTCTCACCCCAAATGAGATCTGCTCCCATCTGGTCCCTCTCCCCGGCATCTGCTTCCTTCAGGGAGATCAGCCCCGGGGATGTCACCCTGCTGAGGATGTGCTGCCCCTCCTAAAGGAGCTGCCCCACTGGGATCTGGACTCTCCCCAGCGTTCTACTGCTCCCAAATCTCCCATCTGAGGAAGCCAGCCCATTCCAATCCCCCTCCCAAGGATCTGCTTCTCCCCTTGAACGTTCCTTCTGCCTTTAGGACCTGCTGCTACTCCACTGCTCCCCACCCTGGGGCCGCATGGAAGGTCCTGAGCCCCCAGTGCATGGGTGCAGGTGCTTTCCTGCCTCGTGTCCATGGACCTACATCAGCCCTTCCCATGGCCAAAAAGGGCTGCAGTGCCCATGTCCTGCCTCAGCCACTGTCCTCTTTTCCTCTGGAGTCTGTCAGGAGCTGGCAAGCACCAGAGTGGGATGGGAGACCCTGACATGCCTTTAGAGTGAAGATCTGCCTCATGAGATCTCTGGACCCCTTCTGTGCAGGATACACACACAATTTTTTGACCTGGATAAGTTCCCAAGTGCACACAGGCCCAAGGCCTCACCCAAAGATAGGGCTGGGAGGAGCAGGGAGGTGTTGAGAGAAGCAGGAAGCACAAGAAAAATAACATCTGTTCTTGAAGAAGGAGATTGATCCTTTTAAGTTTTTTGTCCCCAAAGAAAGAATGATATGATTCATTCCCCAGCACCTTTGAACCCAGTGCCCAGTTTCACCCCATTAATCCTCACCAGCACTCCCACAGGAGTCAGAGGAGACGTCGGACCTGCGGTTTCACTCTTGGAAAAACATCAGTGAAAACTTTAGATTTTCTTCTGTGACAAATCAACCTTGGAGCAGAGCAGTAGGAAACCAGGTTTCCTTATCACAGTGCTACAGTAAATAAAGCACCTTCTGGCTCTGCTGCCAGCTGTCACTCCAAGGGTTGGTCATAGGCTCCATGGGGACACAGAAGGACAGGATGGGGCCCTGCAGGGATGGCTGTGAGAGAAGGGTACCCAGCTCCCCCCTACCCCCAGTGCTGCCAGTGCTGCTGGGTCCCACATCTCCCAACAGCAGCAAGGTCAAACCAGCAAGAAAATAGAGCTTTATTGGGAAAAGCAGCATTGTACAAAGAGCTGCAGTGTAGAACCCTGAGAAGTTGTTCTGCCAAGCCTGAGAATGGCAAGAGGAAACCAAGAAGGGGCTGGGGGGAGCAGGACCTGCCTGCATGTGAGACTGTGTGAGCACAGAGGTCCCTCCAAATTGTTTCAGAGCACCCTGTGGCAGAAGCACCTCCCTCTGGGATCCCCCTCATCCCAAACCTTCCCAAGTTTGGGAAGTTTGGCAAGGATAGAAGAAAGAGGAAAATGTCATTTTTTCACCCTCCTTATCCCTCCTTTCCTTGCTCTATCTGCAGGGACGGGGCATCCACAGTGAGCTCCAGCCCTGCCACGTGTGGCTAGTGATATTTGCATATGCAAATCAACCAGGTTAATTTACATACCTGTCCCCATCAGCTCTTGTTAAAACACTGCACTCCACACCTGAGCTCCCACTGTACCATGACAGCCTCAGCTGCAGCTGCACTATGGCACCAGCCTGGGACTTGCCAGCCTGGCTATGGCTCAGTGTGGTGGCTCTGGCTCAGTCCCTCTGGCACAGTGTCACCACTCTCCCCTCACACAGCCAGAACACAGGGTACAGGGGCTCAGTGAAGACCCCATGGAAGGAGTGGATGAGCTTTGTCCTCTCCCCGAGGCCGTAGAAGGAGAGCAGCCCCTTGCCATAATCCAGGCTGACCCCCAGGTTCTTATAGAGCTGCTCCTGGATTTTCTCAGCCTGGCCCTTGTGCCAGGCCAGGTAACAATCCTCCCGCACCTGCAGCCCCCACGAGCCCCCATCCAGCCCAATGTTGAACCTGTGACCCTGCTGCTGCTTCCGGGGGAGTCCCCGGTAGGTGACCCCCAGGATGATGGAGTGGCTGGAGATCTTCACCTCCCAGTAGTGGTGGCCAGGGCCGTAGCTCTGTGTGCACAGCACCTGCCAGGGCTGGAAGCGAGGGCCCTGCTCCTGCCCACGGACAGCACCATGACCGTGCTTGGCTTTCCGGGCTCCTCTCGACAGCTCCAGGTACTTGTTGGCTGTCTCGGGATCGAAGGTCAGGTTGCGGTGGTCTGGGGAGAACAAGGGCATGGACGGGGCTGAAATGCTTCATCAGACCTTTGTGCCCCCCCAGCAGTCATGGGGTTTAAATTCTGTAGGGCTGGCACCCGAAATAGAAGGTGACGGGTTGTTAGGAGGAGGAGTGGGGAGGATGCAATACCTGCCCTAGAGGGAATGGAAAAGCCCAAAAATAGTTGTTGAGGCACTGAGACACAATGCTTTGCACAACCGAGCTCACAAGCAACAAATGGCCATTGTGACCACAGTGGCTCTGTGGCCATTTTGGCAGGGATGTGCTTGGTTTTAAAAGTGAAAAATACCAGCGTGGGTTGGGAGAAAGCCATGTGTTAAGTGAGCAAATATGGTATTGCAGGGAATTACTCTCCCCTGCACAGGCTGTGATAGCTCCTGACATGGGCATTCACTGGCCACCAGCACCCCATCTTCCTCCCCAACACCTGGGCCTGGCAGCTGGCTGGGCTCCTGCCTGCTGCCTATAAATAACAGGGAATTCCTATTAATAACCCTAAGAACGTTCTCTGGGACCTGATGGAGGGAATTCCTACAGGTCCCATAGGCAGCGATTGCCTCCTTGGCAAGAGTGACATGACCAACATGGCCTGAACATTACCTAGCCCTCTTCCCAACAGGGAGGAGATGGGAAGAGGAGCACAGAGGAATTTCCTAAAAGGAGGAGAGGGATGGGCCTGGGAAGGAAAGGGGACATGGAAGACTGTAGCTAGGAATGCTCAGGCCATATCCCTGGACAGAGAGCAACGACTGAAGGCAGGGCTCTGGACTGGGGCCATGCCATGCAGGGCAGTGACTGATCCAGTATCAGACAACCTCAGTTCTATGGGAAAGCAACTCCTGGTGCTGCTAATTCCCCTAATGAGTCCTTTCCCATCCCAGCCCATCCATCCTGTCCCTACACCATCCTTCTCTACATTTAGGGAGACACCTTGGAAGAACCAGGGAAGGAGCCCTTGTCCCTGCAGCCACAACCACTCTCCTCCCGGGAAGGAGCTCGGCTTGGTGACATCTCTTCCTGCTGGGGACCCCAGTGAGGTGCTCTCCCTCCAGGGCCCCTGTGCTCCTTACCCTTCAGAAGCTCAGCTCGGAGCTGGCACATGGGGAGAGGGGCCACAGCCTTCACTGCCAGCTTCTGGGGATGCACTGAGCCTGTGGAGGATGAGAACAAGCATTTTGAGTAATGCTACCCAAAATTTTATTTCTTCCTGGCTTCATGGGAAGAAGAGAAGGAGGAACTCCACCGTGGTTCAGCACTCCCTGCAAGGAGGGGCCAAAGGGAGGGGCCAGCTCATCCCACTTCATCTGCTGAACAGTAAATGTGTGTCCCATCCCAAACCCCTGTGCCCAGCAGCTGTGTCCCCACCAGTGACACAGGCCAGGCTCATCCTGAGGATGATTTTGAGCCCTTCAAAGTACCCCTGAGAGCAGGAGGGTTACCTTGGCCAGCAGGGTCTGAGGCTTTGGGGGCCACAGAGCCAGGCAGGTCCTCCAGCAGGAGCCTGGAGATGCTGATGAGGATCTCAGAGATGGGCTTGATCACAGCAGTCACATCAAACTCTACAGGCACCAGTGCCTCTGGGCTCTCCAGGGGTGGGAGCAGGGGGAACTCCTGCAGACAGACACAAAGACACCATGCATCAGTCTGGGGAGGACTGTGCAAACCCATTTGCACTCCCCATGTCTCCTCAGTGGGCAACAGGGGCATCCCAGCATTGCCCACACAACTTTACAGGGACCCCAAAAACAGCTCTTCCCCATAGCCCCATCACATCCCTGAGCCAAAATGAGGATGCATTCCCAGTGGGAATGGGTTGAATACGATTCTGCTGTCATCAAAAGGGTGCAAGCAAACACAAGGATACAGTGCCAGAGTGGTACCTGGAGGAAGGTCCTGTGGTCAGGGCAGGCCAGCAGGCTCTGAGCCCTCTCCCTGTGCTTGTCAAGGACATCCAGGCGATCCTTACACAGGTTCCAGTTCTTTTCCACACGCTCCAGTGCTGCCCCCTGCTCTTGCTCAATCCTGGCCACTGTCTGACGCTGGAGATCCTCCAGAGCTGTCCTCAGGTGGGTGAATTTGCTCTGAATCCCAGTTTTGAGCGCAGAGCAGTCCTGGGCAGGAAGAGCCATGAGAACCAGCATGCTCCCACCCACAGGCCAGCACAGGGAGGCTGCACTGTTACCTTGATGCTCAGTGTTTGCAGCTCCAGCTCCTTCATTGCCAGCTCAATCTTCTCTGATTCCTCCTGGGCTTTTTCCAGGGATTCTTTCAAAAAGGTCTGTGAAGGGAGGCACCAACAAAGAATCATAATAGTTGAAAAGGACCTCCAAGATCATTGAGTTCAACCTATGACTGAACACCCCCAACTAGCCCGGAGCACTGAGTTTCATACCCAGTCATTTCTCCCAGTTGTGTCCAGTTGCACATCCTGTGTAACAGCCCAGTGCTGCTCATCCAGCCCCCAGGACCCTCTCAGTGCTGCAGGACAAGGCTAACAGGGAAGGAGGCAGCCTAGGAAGGGGACTCTGTGTCAGGATAACAAAGAAGTGATTTTTTGTGCTGCCTTTCACCCCTTTTTTAGCTGTTTCCTCTAGATCAGAGGGTAATAAACATGTATGGCACCATTCATCTCGTTCTGCTGGATTTTCCAGCTCCCTGCTGCTCCTGACACCTGGTTTCTCAGGGAGCAGCTGGGCACTGGTGGCATCTCCCTGGCCAGCCCCATGTCCAGCTGAGGCTGGCTGTGTGGCGCACAGAGGGACATCACATCCCTGCAGCAGGACACGGGGCAGCGGAGGTGGATGTCATGCGTGCCTGAGCTGTCACACCACCCCCATTCTCCATCGCCCCAGACCTGTCACCAACCTGTTTTTTGGCCCGTTCCTCCTCGAAGAGCACCCGCCGGTGGCGCTGGCACTCCCGGACGGTGCAGATGCAGCAGATGCAGCGCCGCTCGTCCTCGCAGTACAGCTCCAGCGGGCGCCCGTGCTGCCGGCACAGCTCGCCGGGGGCCACCTCGCAGCGGCCCGTGGCCGAGCCCCGCGGGTCACCGTCCCGTGCCAGCTCCACCACGCTGTCCAGGATGACATTCTTCTCCAGCTCCGGGCACCGCCCGAAACCCCTGCGGCACTCGGGGCAGGTGTAGCTCGGGGCGGTCCCCTGCTTTTGCTTGTCCCAGTGGTCGCTGATGCAGCGCTTGCAGAAGTTGTGGCCGCAGGGCAAGGTGACGGGCACCCGGAACAGCTCCAGGCAGATGGAGCACACCAGCTTCTCCTCCAACTTCTGCGAGATGGGTGATGCCATGCTGCCTGTGCCGGAGATCGGGGCGAGCTCGGGGAAATAGAAACTCAGGAGTGCAGAGAAGAAGAGGCGGTGACGCTGCGCCCAGAGGCGGGGCAGGGCTCCCGGCCAGACGCACTCCTAAAGTGACACCCGGTGGCTGTCCCTTCGTCACACCGGCTGTGCCACAGCGGAGACGAGATGACAAGGAGGGCTGGAGCTGTTCCCCCGGGGAGAGGGAGGGTTGTGAAGCGCAGTGGGACACTCCGGAGCGGATGGAACGCTGCAGTGACAGCGAAGGAGGCGGACAGCGATCAGAGCAATGTGTATTTCCATGAACACGTTTGCCAGACACACATCGAATGTGCAATTGGATTTTTCACTCCTTTATTGCCCTTTGAGAGAACTTCCAGGCATCCTCAGCTCTGCCAGGGCTGGATCCCTGAGCTGAGCATGGCAGTCTCCCCTGGCACAGAGATCTCTGTACAGAGCTCCTGCCAGGGAACCAGCACCCACTGCTGCTGCAGCCACATGTCACCTCCCTGCGCAGTGGCAAGGCTGTGACACACCAGCCAGCACCATGTTCTTCCCTTGCATCTTTTAAACCACAGCTCCTGCTGTTGGCCATGTCCCCATGCACACCCACCACACCTTTTCCTACGAACTTCCTTGCAACACCTGTGCACATCAGCACCCTGAAACACAACAAAGATGCCACCTGAGCCACCTGTCCCTGCTCAGGTGGCAGGTGGAGTCTCCTGCCCGGAGGCCAGTGCGGTGCCTGTGCACTGCAAACCTTCACCTCATTGTCACATAGTTCAGTTTCAGTTTTCCCAGCCCAAGCCTTATCTCTGCACCAGGCCCATGTGTTATCTTGCACACATTCCCAGGCTGCTGACACTGCTGGGACAGCCTTGTTTTTCAGCAGCTCTGCAGCCTCCTCTCATGAGCAACTTCCTTTTCACCTGCGCAGGTGAGGGCAAGCAGGGAGGTCTCTGGTGGATCATCCAGAGCAGCTTCCATGCCACAGGCAGCTCAGAGCCACCCCCCTGACCACAGGAGAGGACTTGGGATATGTCACAACTCCCTGCATGTCCCAGCAAGCTTCAGCTCCAAAACATTGCTTTGGGTTGCATCTGTCAATTCTGACCAAATATTTAAAGCCCAGAGAGGTGTAACATGACCTGTGTGTCTGCCTGGAACCTGTGTCCCCACCATGGGCACCTTCCCAGTGCACTCACCCCAGGTTAAACCAGACCCCAGAACCCTTCAGGGTGGGAAGGGAATTCAGGAAGCTCTGGGATAACTGGTAACAGCCGTGAGCACAGGCAGCAGGGAGGCAATTCAGTCCAATCTCAGCTGTTTGTTGAAGGCTCCAATTTCCTGGTTGAAGGAACCTCAGAAAAAGTCACTGGGAACCAGAGCTGAGAAGAGGCAGCTGTACCAGCAGGAACATGTTGGTATTTGGGGTATATGTGAACAGGAGATGCACAGTGGAGCACAGCAGAAAGCAGAGGCTCTCCAAGGCTTGGGAACAGGACCAGCAGCAACAGCAGCTCTGGTTCTGCTGCACTTGCCCACATCAGGTACATCCTGTCCAGGCAGAGACAGGAAGGAGACTGAGGTCCACGTGCTTGGGTAGCTGAAGCCACCACCAGAAACACCAACCTCGTGCAGGTTTACCACCCGTGTAGCCACACTATTCCCAAACTACAACATCCAAGAAGGGAAGTGACTCTGGCCAGTGGAAGAGCTGCCCATCTCCCCTGCACCCTGCTGAGCTCCCCAGCTCTGTGTCAGCTGGCCAGGGTAACAGGCTCTTCCCAATAAAGACAGCTCTGCCAGAACTGCTCAGAGAGTGTTTAATCAGACTCATCTCTCCAAAAGGACTGCACAAATAAAATCTGACACAGTCCTGAACCGCAGCACTGTGAGAGGAGGAAATCCAGGCTGGCTTGGCTTTGTTTGTTCCATAAACAGGCAAAAGGAGAACTGTGACCCTTGCAGGGAAGCAAGGCAGAGCATCTCTGGGAAGAAGCAACCTGCCAGCCACTGCTCAGCTCTGCTGCAGAATCAGGAGCAAGGTTTCAGCCTGGCTATGGATTCACTTTGAATGTTCTTGTTAAGCAGCCTCTTGACCACGCAGCTGCCAGCCCTGTGAGCACCCAATGCCAGCTCCCAGCACAAGGGAACTGGGAGCTGAGAGGCTGAGACTTCGTCATTTCCCTCCTGAGGCACTGAGGGGAGCACAGGAAATCCAGGAGGCAGCATCCCATAGACACAGAGGGGAACAGCTCCTAGTAAATGCCATAGGTGGGCTCCTCTGTGTCCCGGTACCTGTCCAGGTACCTCAGGGGCTGGTGGCGAGGGAACTTCACCTGGGGGGGGTGGTAGGTGGGCGGCTGCACAAACTCGAACACGGGCTCCCTCATGTCTGCAAAGGGGTGACAGGGTCAGCAGCAGGGCTCCCATCTGAACCCCACACCCCCCTTCACCCACACATGAGCAGGGCTGCTCAAACAGGCCCTTGGAGTTATTTTAAAACCCTCATCCAAAGATTAGGGGTTGTTCCTTCAGGCTGCTGTCAATTTGGAGGAGGATGGCTCAGGAAAGGCTTAGTCTGTGCTGATCCTGGACAAGTGCCAAGACCAAGTGAGAGCCTGCAGCCACAGGGCCATGTCCCACCCACAGACCCCCTCCAGCATCCCCATTCCTTACTGAGCAGCTGATGGAAGGTGGTAGTGACAGAGCTGTCCCACTGACACTGGAAAAATGCCAGCCCTGCTGGGGTCATGGCATCCTTATGCTTTGTGTAGAAGTCAAATGTGCTAAAGGTTCTCATCTTCAGGCTGTAGCTGGAAACAAGAGACAAGCACCAGGTGACCCCTCTCCTTGCAGCAGTACCCTGCTCCACATCACCCCAGGGCATATGCAAGAGATGGAGAAGGAAGCCACTAAAAGGAAATCTCCCAGTGTCTCCAGCTCTGTGCATATTTCTGGGCAGCACAAACCACTCTCTAACAGCCTGTTCTGTAACAACAGAACTGGGATTGTGGCTGCAGAGGACGCACAAACCAAAAGCAGCCCTGCAGAACTCTGCAGAGTGACAGGAGCTGCTCCTCTACTGCAATGACAGGTACATGAACCCCACAGGCAGCGAAAGCCAAGCCCAGCACGTGAGCACAGGAATTACCATGGTGTTGGCCGAGCATCCTGGCTGAAGTCGATGGGGCCGTGCTGCTTGAAGAGCAGGAAGATGAAGCGGTGGTAGCCTGTCCCCATGGCAGGGAAGGGGGGCAGATAATGGCACATCTCCTTACCAGCCTTGATGTCACTGCCTGGGATGTTGGTCCTGAACACAAACACATTTACACTCATTTCCCTCCAGCAGATTCATCCAGAACTGCAAATCACTATGCCATGCTGGGATGTGATTTCTGCCCCATTTGATAAGGGAATAGATAATAGAGATTGCTTCCAACACAGGAAAAATCCCACCCAGTGACTGGAGTGCTGAACATCAGCAATATCTGGAACTCCTGCATCCTCAGCAGGACCCAGAACACAGGGCTAAAGGAGCTAATTGCAGGAGCACCAGGAAAAGCCAGGGATTCTGAGCTGTTGGAGGAGTTTCTGCCCAGTCCACAAGCATAGAGCACATGGCTCTGATGTACTCACACCAGCCAGTGGAGGTACTCCGAATCTGCATCCCTCAAATGTCCATCTGCCAACACATAATACAGAAAAGTGACTTAGGGACACCCTGGTGTCAGCATCATCCCCAAAGTGAGAATGCCCACACCTGCTTTGACCAGAAGGACCAGCTGAAGACCTCCCAGCACTCTGTCCCTAGCAGAAAATGAACTCGTTCCTATAGGACTGAGTTTAAAATGAGGAGCAAAGAACTCTGCAGATCTAATTCCAAGATTCTTGAAATCTTGGGCAGCTGCATCCATTCACTGTGCCTTGGTCTCTGAGGGTCAACAGTGTCAGCAAAGCTGCCTTCCAGGCAGACTGCCAAGGGAGAGGAGTTTGGAGGTAAACAAAGATGGGAATCAGGAAATTGTTTCCTCTATACTGTGACACAGGCCCTGTTGTGTCACTGTTCCTTCTCTCAACTGCTACAGATTTGGGGAGGCTACAATCTTTCCTCCATGTGTAATATGTCCCAATCTAACAGATATAACATCACAGAATCACAGAACAGTTTGGGCTAGAAGGGACCTTCAAGCTTATCTCATCCCACCCCCTGCCATAGGCAGGGACACCTTCCACTAGACCAGGTTGCTCCAACTTAGCCTTGAATCTTTCCAGTGATCATCTCTGTGCAGCCAAAAGAATCAGGAGTTAACCAAAGGCTGAATGAAACAAACCAGTTTAAACGTGTTCCTTTAAAGAACTTGCTGCTCACCTGGATTTGTGAGTAACAGGGTCCAGAGGGAGCCTTTGTCTGCCTCGTATGACACTGCAGGGGGACTGGAAGCCTAAAAGAGCAACCATAAAGAGAACGTAAATCACTCACACAACAGCTTCCATGAACTGTGTCTGCACAAGTCTTGGACACAACACAGACTGGGCACTACCAGGCCACTGAAGATCCAGCTGAAGAGCCCCAGGGTATAAATAACCATCAGCTTCCTGACAGACAAGATAGGGACAATCTCTGCCCCTACCACATCCATAAAATGTTTTCTTCAGCACAGAGGAAACACCCATGTGAAAGGCATCCCCTGGAATTAACCACGCTGGTTGGAAGCACCTGGCAGAAAGTGGCTTCCCAGGGGCTCCATGCTGTTCCCAGCTCCCCTCACGCACCTCTGATGGAGTCACCATGTTGCCATAGTAGACTGGCACGAGGTGCTCGTCCTCCTGGCTGTACTGCACCCTCAGGGAGACCCAGGGGGTGAAGGTGGCTCCCTTGAACAGGTCCCGGAACACCCCGCAGTGTTTGGCCACGCGCTGCTTGTGGAACGGGCCACTGGTCCTCTCCCACTCAGCCCTGACATCCTCGAGGGGAATGAGCACTGCAGGGAGAGAGGGAGGATGCAGAGGCAGCAGCTGGACACCCA